GGGGGAGTGGGGGTGGTGCCGCAGGGACCCCCCCCGCTCCCCCCAACCGGGGCACACGCGTGTGTAAGGGGGGGGTGTGGGGGTGCGCGTGACCCGGCCGCGCGTGCTCGCCCCGGGTGAGTGTGCAAGGGGGGAGCTCGGCGAGTGTGCAAGGCCCACAGGGGGTTGAACACGCGGGTGCGAAGGGGGCAATGGGGTGGTGCCGCAGGGACCCCCCCCGCTCCCCCCAACCGGGGCACACGCGTGTGTAAGGGGGGGGTGTGGGGGTGCGCGTGACCCGGCCGCGCGTGCTCGCCCCGGGTGAGTGTGCAAGGGGGGAGCTCGGCGAGTGTGCAAGGCCCACAGGGGGTTGAACACGCGGGTGCGAAGGGGGCAATCCCCCCATTCCTTCCCAGTCCCCCCAGTTTGGTACCTCCATCCCCCCATTCCCTCCCAGTCCCCCCATTCTGAGGGCTCCACCCCCTCATTCCTCCGTCCCAGTCCCCCCAGTTTGTGACCTCTATCCTCCCATTCCCTCCTCCCAATCCCCCCAGTTTGGGGGTGCAATCCCCCTATTCCTTCCCAGTCCCCCCAGTCCGAGGGCTCCACCCCCTCATTCCTCCGTCCCAGTTCCCCCAGTTTGTGACCTCTATCCCCCCCACAGCCGCCGCCGATGGCTCAGGACAACGCTGCCTTCTGCGGGGTCCCCGAGGGGGTCCCCACGGGGGTCCCCGCCGAGGCCAAGCCCCCTCCCCCGCCCCCCCAAGCCCCCAAACGCCGCCCGTGGGGGGCCGGGGGGGGCGCGGTGGCCCGGAAGCGCCAGCGCTACGTGGAGAAGGACGGCAAGTGCAACGTGCAGCACGGCAACGTGCGCGAGACCTACCGCTACCTGACCGACATCTTCACCACCCTGGTGGACCTCAAGTGGCGCTTCAGCCTCCTCATCTTCATCCTGGCCTACGCCCTCACCTGGCTCTTCTTCGGCCTCATCTGGTGGGTCATCGCCTACAGCCGCGGCGACCTGGAGCACCTGGGCGACCACACCTGGA